AATTATATAAGATTTATATAATCATGTTTCAGTCTTTAGGTTTAAAAATAATCCACTGGGTAGGAAGTTAAATAATGATAAACAGCATCTTTGGTACCAATTGTTTTAAAACTAATTTTTAGATTTAGAAAATTAAATTTTTTTCTCATATGGGAAAAATGAAGGTTTAAATACTTATTTTAAGACTGGAGTCTATATTTTGAAAAATGGAAAGCAAAACCTTTTCCTATATTATCAGAAATAGAAAATGTCTACATACCTGCCAAGCTAGTAATTGGTCTGGCTCTAGTTCAGCAGCTTTCTTATAGGCACCTTGGGCCTGGTCAGGCTGTTGTAGTTCAGCTGCAGCAACACCAATAAAAACCCAGGCATTATAGTTATTTTTCTCTTGTTTTAACACTGTCTGATTAAAAAAATTAAGAGTAAGTCATTATTATACATTTTGGAAACTACTAAACAAACAACAACAAAATGACAGTCTGTTATGAATCAGGACACTTTATCTACCACTACTAGGGTGACCATCAGAAAGCTACCTAACCTCAAAGTTTCAGTTTCCTTGAGGAAAAAGCCAGATGCACTGAATGAGAAGACTGTAAAGGATTTGGAAAACAAGGTACATTGCCATAAAACTTCCTAAGGGATCCTCATGCCTCCATTAAATGCCACCTCCTGCTCTTTGAGAACACTGGGCATAGAAAGAACAATAACCACCCAACCATCCCTCCTGCCGAATGCTGCTACTGCTCAGCTCACACACTATTCATATCATGTCGCTTCATCCAACTCTTTTACCATAATAATATTTTTATGTATTAAACAGATGGATTTTTCATGGAAATTATAGGCTACCAGAAGATAAATTCACTCCAGTATAACTATACCAAATATGTTCAAAAAAAAGAGGTGATAAGAAGTTTAAATAATATGTACCATTTGGAATAAAATTATAAATGTGGAGATAATGTGTTCAGGAACAGGAGCACTTGCTAAGGTAAAATAAATAGCTTAAAGCAGAGAGCAAACATGTTCTGCAGAAATAAAAACAAAACTAAAAGCTAAGGTGAAATTACCCTCACAAGGTTTACGCATTCTAGAGAAAATAAGAACATTCCATGGGTTGAACTTCTCCAATTATTAGGTTTATATGATCCACATACACTTCCAGCAATGTACTATACAAGTGTCTATCCATTAACGCTGCCTCCTACAAAACACAACAATAAGCTAATCATGAAGACAAACTCTAAATACTAGGGGCTTGTTATGCTTATGTTCTGAACACCAAGTACGACTGCTGACACGACTGCACATCAAACGATACATGCCACAGTCCACCCCCGATAGTAATTACTATCTGACTACTGATCAGGTTTTAGAACTTGAAACACATTTTAAAGAAATAATCACAAAAAATACAGTGAAAATAGGTTGAAGATTCTGAGAGAACAGAGGAAAAAATTACCTAACTCCACGTGCACAAACTGTTGAAGGCTTCCCTAGAGAGATGCTACCCCACACTGTAAAGCCCCAAAGGACAAAACCACAATGAATTCACTCAGAGGCAGCATTCTTTACTAAAAATTTCACTGTTTCAACCAACATTCTGGGTTACTATAGATCAATAACTGACACATTCTGTTGCTTTATCCTCCATTTATATTCTTTAGCTGGGTTTGGGCATTATAAATTATAAAATACTTGGTGGAATTCATATTGGAGTTTTGCAGAAAACCTACAGAAAGAAGTCTGCTGAAGTACTACTATATAATAGAAACAGAGGCCAACAAGATGGCTCAGGGGACAGTGGCACTTGTCATCTAAGCCTAATAACTTAAGTTTGGTCCTTGAGACCCACATAAAGGAGGAAGGAGAAACCTGACTCCACAAAGTTGTTCTCTGACTGTCACATGTACACACACGCACACACATGCACACAAAATAATAAAACAGAAATAGAATCATGCATACATCACTACTTAGATAGACTAGTACTAGAGGAAGCAGTCCCTCTTCTCTCACTCTACCTTTCGCCCCTAGTCCGTACAGACTGCTCGCCTTCTATCAGGATTCGTACCATCAGGGCTTCATACCCTGCTAGCCATGGCACCACCTGGAGCTTAACTTCATAAGGGCATCCTTTGCCTTGGATTCCCCACCTCATATTGCCATGTGTTTCGCCTGTCTTGCCAACTCCCTTCATATCACACTCACAAATTCTTCATGGTGCCCTTTGGAACTTTCAGTCTGGATCATCTCCTCTCCTATTTTCAACCTTTCTTTTAGCTGCATTAAGTTCTGCCTTAATTGACACTTTACTATTCCCCTAAAGATCTTATACTCTGAGTTAATTTCCTTCTCTCATATTTCATATGCCCCGGTGCCAGAAAGTAAGGAGAGGGCTCTCACTCAAACTGTCAAATAATACTCTTCTTCAAAAACACAACTACAGGGCTGGAGAGACAGCTCAGTGGTTAAGAGCACTGGCTGTTCTTGCAGAAGACCCAGGTTTGAGTCCCAGCACCTACATGGTGGCTAATAATCATCTGTAACTCCAGTTCCAGGGGCATTTATGCACTCTTCTGACCTCCACAGGCAATGCATGACATGGGTGCACTTACACACATGCAGGCAATACAGTCATACACATAAAATGATAAAGTGAACCCCTCCACACACACACATATACACAACTACAAACAGGCATGGTGGTAAGCACCTGTAATTCCAGCACTAGGGAGGCAGAGGTAGGAGCATAGCAAGTTTCAGGTCAACCTGGTATACATAGTAAGACCCTGTCTCAAAACAAAGAAAACTTACCTTTAAAGCTCATACCACACAATACTATAAAAATAACCTTGTTGCTACTAACAACCTCCTAGAAATTCCTCTTGCCTCCAGTGAAAACGTTGTAACCTTCTCCAGCTCAATTCCTGCATTCATCCTAACATTCATGGGGACTGTGATGGTTTGAATGAGAAATAGGCTCAAGTACTGTTTGTGGAGGTCATGAAATCTTTAGGAGGCGAGGCCTTGCTGGAGGAAGTATGTTGCTTGGGGCCAGGTTTGAGAGTTCTCAGCCTCACCCCACTTCCAGTTTTCTCTCTCTGTTTCATGTCTGTGAGTGAAGCTGTGAGCTCTCAGCTTCCTGCTCCTGCCGCCATGCCTGCTTCTTGCCACCGTGCCTCCCCTCCACAATGGACTCTTACCCCTTGGGAACTGAAAGCCAAATAAACTCTTTCTTCTGTAAGTTGCCTTTGGTCATGGTGTTTTATCACAGCAACAGAAAAGTAACAAATGTAATGATGTCCCACTGAACACTACAGTCTCTCAGTTTCTTAACCTCTACATTATTCAACCACCCAAAATCTGAACTGCCCAGGTACTATTCTCCTGCCTCCACTCCTCCCAGTTCGATTACTATAATGGTCTCAGAGTAACAACTCTCAAGCCTCTGGTATCTCCTATTTATAAAGTCTCCTCTTTCTACTCTTTTTGTTTCATGCAGCCTTAAGACCCATCGTTGTCACCAATGCTGTGTCATGACATCCTTGACTCCTGTGCCTCTCTTTCCTTTCATCTTTCACCATCCATAGCTGAACTTCATCATTCCTGTGCCCAAATTTGGGAAGCTGATAATGAAAAAAAGAAGCCTGCAGCTGACTTAAGCTCACTGATTTCTCTTTAGTAACATGAAACTTCAAATGAACATCACTAGGGCCTAGTAATCCTTCTATTTCTTATTAGTGAGTTTTCTTACTGTACACATCAACTGCTTCAAACCTGCTTTTGTCTCAAACATCCTGTGCAAGTCATCTCCCACCATCAGTATATACTTCACAAATAGATGCTATCAGAGGTTCTGATTGTCTCACCACCAAATCTACGAACAGAGAGCCCTGCATAGATCTACACCTATCTGTTTTCCTGCTAAGACAGAAGAAGAGTTAAAAGCCTTCTCTCAAGTTCTGAATGCCATCTTCTCTCTCACCTCCCGAGGACTTCACTTCTACCACCATGCTCTATCTCTCCTGTACATTCAATTTCTCTAACAGGAACAGTCCCATCAGCACACAAGGAATCAATCTTTAGACTCTTGATTCTTCCATCAACAGACCAGAAGGAAATTAAAACGGGGCTGGAGAGAGATGACTCAGCAGCTAAGAGTGTGTACTGCTCTTGCAGAGGACCTGAGTTCAGTTCCAAGCAGCCAAGCTGGATGGCTCACAACCACCTGTAACTCCAGCTCCAGGGCTGCCAATATCTCTGGCCTCTCCGGGCACCTGTACTCACATGCACATACCTCTCTACACCCATTCATATAATTAAATAAAATAAATCTTTTTTTAAAAAAAGAAATTGGAATGTTAACATACCATTAAAAAAAAAAAAACAAAAAAAAAACATTAAAAATGCTGGTGAGATGGCCCAGCAGGTAAAGACTCCTGCTGTCAAGCCTGGTGATCTGAGTCTGATCCCTAGGACCCACAGAGCAGAAGAAGAGAACTGACTCCCACAAGTTGTCCTCCGACCTCCACGCATACCACTTATGTATCATAAACACACAAAAACAAACAAATAAATAAATATAGAAAATGTAAAACAAAATATAATAAAAATGTTAATATGGTAGAATTCCATAATGCAACCCATTCAAAGGTGTTTATGATACATTCAGACTTAGAGATCATAGCTTTGATAATTTGTGGATAAAAATAAAGGAAAATCAAGTGCAGCAACAGTAGCTTATCCCACCAATACGAAGTTATTCGTTTAACTGCTCTGATGAACTAACATTCTTGCTATATTAGAATAGTAAATGACTTACATCTCATAATAACACTTATAAACTGGAAACATATTTGATTGTTAAAGAAACAAGTATGCTTTACCTTACAATGTTTCAAAGCTTCTTTGTATTCTTTGTTTCTGATTGCATCTCTTGCACTTTTTAGAGCAGTCTTCACTTCTTTGCTGGACATTCTATCAAGCCAAAAAGCCACAGTGAACCTTTAACAATATCTCCCAAATAAGAGTTTCAATAAACTTTTCTATCTGGAAAAAGCCCCCTGATTCCTTCTATCTGGAGCATAAGTCCCCCCTCCTAACAGACAGCTCATTCCCTTACCTCTTTTGATTTTTACTTACATGTCTCTTCCTCAGTGGAACCTTCCCTGGACATACCATTTTAATCTTTCTATCCTCCTGCTCAAAACCACCCATATTATATTCCCTACACCATTTCCTTGTTTTATTTCTTCAGAGCACTTAACACATCTACTACACAACATATTCTACTCCTCTGATTATCCACAGCCCAATCCCACCAGAATCTAAGTTCTGTGTAGACAGGATTTTTCTGGTTTTGTTTTTTCTTGCACTGCCTCATCTCCTAGGGCTTAGTATCTGACATATCACAGGTAACCAATAAATACAATTTGAAATTGAGCTTGATTAAATTATACTGACTTTCCACACACTTTCTTAGAATGCAGATGATCTATGGGCCAGGACCTAAACTATATACTAATTTCAATTCAGTTTTACAAGCAAGATCCAATAGAATAAGCTCAAGACAGAGAAAAACACACAAATAATTTTAGTAGCTATGATGGGAAAATTTTTAAAAGTTTAAGAAAGTCGTTTTCATACTAGGTTCTGTAAGATATAAATCAGGATGTGAATTGTCTTGACATTGAGGGTTACTTTCTCTAATGAGAAATGAATTTAAATGTTTGCACCTCAACGGAAGAGTGACAAATCTGCAAAAAAAAATTGCACACGAATTTTGGCCATAAAAAATATTTCACACAGCCAGCTGTGGTGGCATATTCCTAAAATCCCAGGATAAGGGGGACAGAGGCAAGAGGATCAGGAGTTCAAGGCCATTCTCTGCTACAGGTTCCAGTCCAGCCTGGGTTACATAAAACCTTATCTCAAAAACAAACAACAACAAAAAGACATATGGAAGCCTAATACTGCATATGCCAATTTAAAATGTTTTAAGGAAAATTTTCAAATTTTAAAAAATTATTTAATAACCATATAAGTAGAAGCATTTCATGACAACAGCATTGACATATTCAATAATAATTTCAGTTATACAATACTGTACCCAGTATAAACCCTTTAAGACATAAAATTAAATGAGGTTTTAAGCCTTAAAAAATCTCCATTTCATTATTAAAATACACAGTTTCATACAGAAAAATTCATTTTTAACGCCATTAACGCTAAGATGTTTGCACATCAGTTTCTAATCTCTATATATCTGATTATTACTAGTCACAGTCAGTTACTTTCTGAGCTCCTTGGCATCAGAGCATGGAAATAAAGTCATCAGATAGATTTCAATGGTAATGTTTTTCACATCTACTAATTATTAAGGAGCAAATTTTTATGCTTTGAAGAATTACTTTTTTAAAATTTTTTTTAATTTAATAACCACATGATTAGAAGAGGATTCCATTACAGCTTTAACATATTCAGTAACACACTCCAGAGCAAAGATACATCTCTTTCAACAGTGGCTATAAATTCTTAAGTTCACAGTTGAATTAATAGTTTTACAGTATTGAAATCAGCATAAACCCTGTAAGATATAAAATTAAATGAGTTTTTACCCTTTAAAGAAGAGGAATACTGACAACTGATTGCTGCTAGATGAGGAACAGCTGACCCTCCTAAAATAAAGACCTCTAGATAA